TGATAAACCATAAAGGAACAAGGATGGCAAAGGATGGAGAAGATTAACACGGATTACAAACGACGAATTTGAAAAATTGAGGCTAAATTTTTCAATATGCGCATACCGTTACTGAGCTCCTTTAAACTCCAGTTTACTCCTTCAATGCTTCGCCCTCAACTGACTTGTTCTACCCTCCTGCCAAGAGTATTTCTTTGGTAGTTATCACTGGCTAAGTCACTCAAACACGACGGTTAACGGGCTTTGTTTTACCATTCCTAAGCATAACAGCCTCTAAGACAGTCTTTCCTTCTCAGTTTGGCGTGGATGGAGGACCAAGATAAATTTTCAGAGAATTCAAGAGGCAGTGAAAGTCATTCAACGCAACACAAAACGTTATTTTGCGTTAAAGCGACTACAAGAAGAGTGTAACGTAAAATTGAAAAGCGACACATCGACAGAAGAATTCTTCAACGAAACCTTTCCAGAACAGAACCCTGCGCTAATGGCTAACTCGCCTCTGAACTTTCCAACTTCTTCGCTGCCGCAATGTGTTTCACCCGCCAAGACGACAAGTCGCCATTTTGGGTTCCTTTCTAGTTTACTCTCACGCGCAGGATCTTGGTTTGACCCACTGGAAACAAAACCCGACAAATTTACACCGGATAATTATTTTTCGGCGCCATGTGCTGGACAAATGACTTTCAACTTCACCAGAGGGCATATAAGTCCTCTAGCCATGTTGATGTGTAATTTCAGTCCCGCAAAACCGCGGGTTGACGATGCGGACAAACTGAGCTTAACGATGCTGTCAGTCAATAAATCATCGGCTATTATATCACGCCGAGATATCGAAAAGGTAACTTGCTTGTGTGAATCTTTTTTTGTTCAGGCTGAGCAGTGTCTACGATTTTACACAGAAAGTATAGCCTCTGTTCCTCTTTGGAAAATCGGGTTGGGGCGGTGGGAGGGAGTGCAGGTATGCAACAGGGGTCTCCTAGCTCTATCCAAGAGTGTTGCGGAGTTTCAGGACATCATTCTACTGTAAATTCTTCTTGAAACCAATTACGAGGTTTCGTTTCGGTTACGTGATTTGTTGTTATTGGCCGAGTGAAAGTATTAAGTCAGTCAGTGCATTTGCGTGACAGGTACCAAGGAATTAAATCGGAATAATTGTCTTTTAAGTTATCTTTTGATTGCGCCCGACTACTGTTTTTGCAGTTATGCAGCACGTATCACTCAACTGTTCATTTATAACTTCTCTTTTCTAGATGCCAGTAGCATTTCACTGCAAAGGTACCCCTCTGCCCCACGCTAACAGGAGACCACATTCGGCAACCACAACCAACATGGTAATAACCTTCACTGCTATACGTAATAGTAATTTATTTTAGCGACAACTAAATAGGCCAAACGATAGAAGGAATCTCGTACAAGGAAATACTCGACTAAAAGAAGACTGTTGTTTCGGTCGTCGTAAAAGAAATATAACCCTTCCTCCCCTTAGGGAAATAAGCAACAAGTAATACCTCTAGGAGGTACTACCTTCTTGATTTTACGGGACATCTGACAAATAACTTCAATGTGTTTCAACTTGCAATGCAACAATGTTGCGAGACAAGTTGAAGGAAAATGCTGCCCGTATTACCGAACCTATACCAGAGCTTCGACCATATTGGATTAACATTTTGCGTTGCGCCGAATACTGTACTTCAATTTTTATACTGCAGTTCCGTTAAGGCGGGGTTAACCTGAAGACCGTATTTTGGCTGGGTATTATGGTTTTAACCCAAATATCTTGTCACTATCTTGTTCACGTTTCAAGCAGTCAAAAATCTTTCTGGTTTCTCCTAGGAAGAATTTAATTTTCAATCAGAAACCATGACCAGATCTTGGTGGGGGTACAAGTGAAAGGGTTTAGCTTGTTTGTTCAAATTTATTCATCCAGTAGCTTAAATTTATGTTTGCTTTAATTTTTTTCAAACCAGTTTGCAATTGTATCCTTATCCTCATTTGTTTTGGTTTACAAATCACGCTGGTTTGAAAAATTTTAAACCAAACAAAATTGCTAAAATATGCCAGCCTCACCTGAGCCCTCTCATTTCTTCCTTCCTTCTCACGGGTGATCTCTTGTGATTTCAGTTGAGCTAACAAGGCAATCACGTTCTCTCTCCACTTTGTAAGCAAACTGTCTCCTTGACTGCTGTCACCCTTGGTGAATTTACTTTGAAACTTCACTAATTCTCTCTCTTGAATGGAAAGAATTTCATTCATGGATGATAGTCTTACATTGAGAGGTTCTACCATAGATCTTAATTGCTCATTTTCCTGTAACAAGTTGGTAATGTTTTGCTTTGCTTCTTCGTTCTCTTTTTGAAGTTTCTCCATCTGAGTGTTTGGCAGGTTCTCTGTGATGTAAGCTCTGAGTTGGTCAACAACTGAGTTCTGAGCCTTAAGTTCTTCTTCTTTCCCTCCAAGCTTTCCTGGAAATGGTCAGTAGCGGGTCAATTAAAATGAAATGAAGGGTAGGTGTAGTATAGCAATGTAACATATCATTTGCGCTTTCCTTTTTACTTGGAGAGAGGGGGGACAGGAGAGGGAAGGGGCCAAAATGTTTTTGATATAGGTCATTTTCAAGTTTTCAAAATTGCTGTATTAGAAATGGTTTTTATCATATCTGTATTTTTGGAGAGGGGTGGAAAGGGTCTGTCGGGCATGTTAACTCGACTAAGCTTTATGCCCTTTCGCAGACTCAAGTTGTCACTCTTGACCCATCCTTGAAGAACTACAACAGCACTTGGAGAGAGAAGATTAATATGATAGGACATTAAATTGGTGTCTACGAGCGACATGTTTATCACTTCAGCTTCACTTGTTAACCTCTGTTCACATCAACTTCCCTGTTTTAATTTTCTCTCGTTCACTTGTTAACTTCTGCTCACATCAATTACCCTGTTTTAGTTTTCTTTCAGCACAATTATTTTTCCCTGCAGTCAGCAGGTAGAAGGCCAATTTGCCACAGTTAGGAGACTTCAGCAATAATGATGATACACTGACTAGTGACATGGAGAATGACACTTATTGCTTGGTTTATTATCTCACCTGTCAGACTCTGAAATTCTCTTTGATATGAAATTGTCTGCTCTTCTATCTTACAGCATAGTTCTTTAAAAGTTTTGTCAAAATCTGATTGACTTGCTTGAATTTTTTTTGATACTTGGTTATGTTTGTTGAATACTCTCTTTCTTTTGCTTTCAGTTCCTCTTTAAAAATCTTTAGTTCTTCTTCTACAGCAGTCAGTTTGTCTTTTGTCTCCACGTGAATCTGTTCTCTTCTTGAAAGCTCATCACTCATTTCTTGAAACTCTTTTAAGTACTTTGCTTCACATGCATTTAAACTTTTCTGCAATGTTTTAATTTGCTCATACTTGTCACATTCATTTTTGCCGAGCACATCTT